GCAAAGCGGGCGGGGTAGGGCAGGGGGTGGGGGCTGCGATGCCTGCAGGCACAGGCAGCCTTACCTGTACAGCCCAGGGCCGGACGTGCTTGATGCAGGGCAGCTGTGCTGAGTAGGAGGCAGCTTCCCGTGCCAGCAGGTCCCACCTTGTACCTTGGCCCAGAATCCCTGTGGGGTCGGCCGGGTCCAGGATCACGGGGCTGCAAACAGAGAGTGGGTACTGCTGTCAGACCCAGGCAGTGCTGTGGGGTGGGTGACACAGTTCTCACCGGGCACGGTCCTCACCGGGGACTGCCTAGCAGTCTCTTCACGTGGTCACCGGTCCGGTTGTCTTTGAGCGAATAGAACTTCTCCCAGTAGATGCAGATCTTCTGGTGCTGACACAGCAGCTCCAGCACCGTACGGAAACCTTCAGCTGTGACAAAACTGTCGCTCGAGCCCGTGCCCTCCTCCCAGGCGTAGATGGTCAGCAGCTCCAAGGCATACTTGGGGGGCAGGTGTTCGTTGGGGTGCTGTGGCTTCACCATCTGGGGAGAAAAGGGGGTGAGAGCTGGTCCAGGGGGTTACCTGGTGAGTGCCAGGGAAGCCAGGCAGCCCCTCACCTCCTTATACCAATGCTTGACCAGGCGCACAAGGTTCTTCAGCTTGGCAGGGCAACGCTTCACAAACATCTTCTGCAGCTCAGTGAAGCAGGGAGAGAACTCCCCAGGGCTACTGCCAATGTCCAGAAGCCCCACGAACACATTTGGGTCTGGAGGGTCATCCCTTTTCACATTCCCTGTGGGGTGAGAAAGAAGGTGAGAGCCATCCCAGTGCTGACACTCCAGCCCCACACCAGCCCACAGCCCTTACCCAAGGCATCATAAGCAGGAAGAATGTCCACTTCAATGGACTCCGAGTTGGAGTAGAGGGTGAAGCTGAGGGAGCGTGGTGCATTGTTGGGACCCTTGTATCGGGGTTCAGTGATGCTGACAGTGAAGTCCAGTCTCTCCTTCTGCTCAAGCCTCTGCTTGATCAAATCCAGGATACGCAGTCTCTCCCTGTTCTGCTTCTGCACGTGATAGCTGGAGAAGTAGTTGATGAAGAGCACCACGTCGGCATCGGAGTTGTTCTTCAGGGCTGTGCCCTTGCCCGCCGAGCCGCCCTGCAGTGACACACCCTGCCCGCTCAGCACCGCTGCCCGTGGGCGCAGGCATCGCCTGACACCATTCCTGAAGCTTCCAGGGGGAACTGAAGCAGGGCAGGAGCTGGGGCAGCGGGAGAGAGGGAAGGGTGGCAGTAGGGGTGCCCGCTGGCCACTAAGCCCTGCAGCACTCACCTTGACAGTCTTCTGGACACGGATGTCTTTCTCAAAGCAGGACTCCTTCAGGAAGGTGCAGATCTTATCCACTGTATCCTTCACGTTCTTTGTGAAATCCGTGCTGGGCTGCAGATTCTCCATGACCCAGGTGTCCAGCTTGTTGGCGGCCACCTCCCATAGCGTGTTCGTAGATAACATCTGTCCCGCTTCCATCCTGCCAGTTGCAGTCACCCCCTCTCTCCGCTTGCTCCTGCCTGCAGCAGCTTTTAAACCTTCCCGGGTCACCGCCCCGACGGCGTCACCGCCGGGCAAGCTAAGGTGTCCCGCTGCTTCGCCTCTCCCCGTCTGCGCGGCACAGCCGCCACCCAGCAGGGGGGCTTAGGTGACAGCAATGGGACGTGACTGGTGCCAGTACCACCGGGGGTCCTGGTGCCCCCCGGCCGGTGGGCGGTGCGGGCAGCGCTGCAGCTCGCGCCGCCTTAAGCGCCGG